ATGTCAGCCTCTCCAGGCAGTGCTTTGAAGTCTGTGAAACCCTGTGTAATTGAGACTGGCATATTTGGCAGGCCCATTTACAAAGCAGGGTTGTTTGATGGCATACACAGGAGATCTGCTAACTGAGTTATAAAGAACTGAGGCATTTTCACCCAACTCTAGTTTTGGCATGCACTCAATGAACTTCCTGTGATGCAATATGGTCTCTTGGTGCAAAATAGTAGGAAATGGGAATTTGACTGTACCTAGCACTTTCTCACAGAAGGCGTGGATGGAGCTGAGTGTGTGACTGCTTTCTCACAGCAGTGTGGAGGATGAATGTAATCTCACTCTGATGGGTGTTTAATGTGTAGTCCTTAAAGTCAGTGTTGTTTAGTGCCATCGAGTCAGTTCTGACTTTAGGGGCCCTGTGTAGGGTTTCCGAGGAGTGGCTGATGGGTTTGAACTGCCAACCTTGTGGTTCAAACTGATGTCAGTAGCCTTTCTTTAAAACATTGCAAAATGAATTCTAAAAGCGTGCTATTTCAGTATTGCATGTGAGCTGCAAATACCATTTCTCGCATGGAGTTTAACTATTTAAAGACTTTGCTTTTTTCATTGTAATTGAAGTATTCTGACCATCAAATGTCATTTCATTTGTTTTTCTAAATGCTAAGACTTTAATCCAGATGTTGCTACTCTTATCAGAAAGGCAACTTTCACATAATTTAGAGATCAGGAGAAAAAAAAGATCCCAAGGCAAAGGTCACCAAAATCAATGTGCAGTTGTGTTAGTCAGTTCTGAATGGTGGCATTTCTCCTGGGCTCGTCCCTCACAGCAAAAAGGGGACTACAAAGTGGTTTCAATACGTGTCTGTTTGTTAAAGTGGAAGCATGTGACATCCACAAATGGGTACCACATGGCAGAGATACCCAGAAGCAAGTCAGCAATATGAAAGGGATAATTTGGTTCTGTTTCATTTCATTTTTCCCCCTTCGGGGGGCGGGCACACGTGAGAGAGAGGGGGTGTCTACAGAGGAATCGGGCTCCCATTTTAGTTTATGCATGTGGTTGGCTTAGTTTGGCTTCATGCTTGCCAGGTTTTAACATTGATCTTTGGTTCTGACACCTTGGATTATAAGCTTTTAGACACCAAAGTCCTTTTCCCTGAGAATGGAAGGGACGGAGATTGTGGTATCTTTTCGTATCAGCTGGCTCTTGTGCCGACTCTTGGATATGGCCCACCAACTGGTCCTGGTCTTCGTAATTATTGTGTGTGCATTTCCTCCCATACCAGACTGCATTCATTGAATGAGAAAATCACGACTGAGGACTTAGTCTGAGTAAGCTTCAGACTGGTTTTCCTCTCTACCCCTACGGGTACCTGGATTGGAGGACCTTGAAGACAGTAAACAGACCCAACCCGAATCCATTGTTACTGAGTTGATTGTGATTTACAGTGGTCCTGTGTAGGGTTTCCCAGACTGTCAATCTTCATGGAACTGCCTCATCTTTCTCCCACAGAGCAACTGGTGGGTTTGAATCGCCCACCTAGTGGTTAACAGCCCAGCCCACAGGTACTGCAGGTTCCTCTCTAGACACAGTCGGTACCTAGAAACTGTCAGTGGTGAGAATATACTTGCCCACAGTTAACAAACTCATTGACGACTGACTTCTAAAGTAATTTACTCCAACTGATGACCCAGAATTCTTAGATATCAAGGATGTATGCATGAAAACTTGTTAGAAAAGTGAAACATTCATTTATCATATCAAAATCATTTCAAGGATGTACATCTTTGACTTTGTTAAGTAGATATCCGTCCATATATAAGTTTGCCCACATTTGTCTGTTTGCATCTGAATCCTGTATGGTGCACGACATAGTGGAGGACAGGGTTACCCTGGTTTTGCACCTCTTAGTTATCTAGTTAATTATGGTTAGTTTCAGCCAGTTAGCTTGACTTTGGGCAAGTTATTGAATCTTTCGGAGCATATAGAAATAATACTACCTCCCTTGCCACGGGGGTTCTGGGAGTTGAAGGTGATTACCGACAGGTAGGTAATTAGGTGTTAAGTACCAGCACACAGTGTATTCAGTTGTTGTTAGTTGCCATTGAATTGAGCCTCACTCTGGACTACCCTACATGGGCTCTATAGGGTTTGCAAGGCTCTGACCTCTCAGGAGCAGATTACCAGGCCTGGTGTCCGAGGCACTTCTTGGTGGATTCACACCACCAGCTTTCTGGGTAGTTGAGCGCATAACAGTCTTCACCATCCAGAGCAAAGCCTCTATTGTCAAGTTATTTCCTACTCCCAGTGACCCCGTCAGACTGAGTAGAACAGCTCGACACGGTTTCCAACGCTGTAAAGCTACAGGAGCAGACAGCACATCGTTAGCCCAATGCCTAACCTACAGCACTACCAAGACCAATTTCAAAGTAGTGTTGTTAAGTGCCTTTGAGTCAGTTCCAACCCATAGCAACCCTGTACAGGGTTTCCAAGGCTGTAAATCTTTACGGGAGCAGAATGCCTCATCTTTCTCCCACGGAACAGCTGTTAGTTTCGAACTGCTGACCTTGCGGTTCACAGCCCGATTCGTAACCACTATGCTACCAGAGCTCCTTATAATACATAATAATCAAGGAAAGATCACAAAAACTTGCAAAAAAAATCATCCTCACTGAAACTTGTTGATATGTGCCAGTGAAGTTGATTCTGACTTATAGCAAGACATCTTGTTAGCATTTAGAGACATTTCTTCTCATTCTTTTTCCGGCACATGAAGTTTTTTGGCTTAGAGTTGTATTTATATAGTTGTGATTTTACTCTTCATGAACATTTGCGTTCTGCTGTGATGTGAATGTTTTCACTGTGAGGAATGTACGCGTTGCTATACAGAGTTTAAACAATGCAGATAAAGCCAGCACCAGTGCAGTCATCCCTTCCTCTCACTGTCTTACCGTCTGGTCATCAGGAGTAACCCTGTCATAACTTTTGTAGGGGGGAGGACATGTGTGCTGTTAAGTAGTTCTGACTTGTAGCGACCCTATATAGGGTTTCTGAGCCTGTAAATCTCTGTGGGAGCAGAAAGCCTCATCTTTCTCCCTTGGAGCATCTGGTAGATTTGGAATGCTGACCTTTCAGTTACTGCCCACCACATAACCCACTAAGCCACCAGGGTTTCTTTATTACCTTAGTTTGGGATCTTTTTGACCTTTGGACCTCCTTTTCTGTGTTATAAGTATTTGTCCTGGCTCTTTTATGATAAAGTTTCATGAAGATGCTTTTATTTTAAAATAGTGTATGTGATATTGTTGAAAATACGGTACACAGGAGAACATACACCAATCCAACAGTGTCTGTCTGTACGCCTCAGTGAGTCCAGATCCTTCCTAACAGCTGCACATGCCTCATGGGTGACAGCAGGTGTTGTATGTAACCAGTTGAGTTGTTTCTAAATTTCATTTTTGGAAATAATGCTGCAGTGAACCCTTTTTTTGTGTATTTACGATTATTTCCTGTGGATTGCTATGTTGGTGTTAACTGCCATTAAGACAATTGCGACTCAGCCACCTTGTGTAGAATTTCCAGGGAGCTGCTGGTGGGTTTGAACTGCTAATCTTGCAGTCAGCAGTCCAGTATTTATCCTACAGCACCACACCAGCTCTCCTTCCTTTGGATGGTATTACTGAATAAAAGAGTATGAAGTTTTAAGGCCCTGGTATGTACAGTTGACCCTTGAACAATGTGGGTTTAGGATCCCCCTTGCAGTAAAAAACCCACATAGAACTTTTGATGGAGCTTCACTGAGAACACCAATAGATGGTGGTGGTTAAGTACCGGCTAGTTGGTTCCCACTCATAGCAACCCTATGAGGAGTGAATGGTGAGTTTGAACCACCGATCTCGCAGTTCAAATTGACCTTCTGGTTCAGTGCTTATCCTGCAGCTCCACACCAGGATTCTAATAGTTGAATAATGAATGAGTGCATACTGTATATATTCTATGTATTATTGTTGCACCCACATAAAAGTTGATTAATGCATATTTTATATGTTCTATGTATTCCTGCTGTACCCACATGAAAGTTGCACTCTCAATATGAGATAAAAAGGTATTTTGCATCAGGCACATGTGTTTTGGGCTTGTGGTGTAGCTGCAGTGATGCTTTTGCAAATTTTTTTTTTTTTTTTTTTTACAATAATTACTGTGCTGGATTCATTTATCTTAGACTAGCAGGCAACCGCAGCTGCAGGCCTATCAGGAAAGTCAACTTTTCCTATAATATCATGACTTTTCTGCTTTTTGGGAGCACTTTCAGCATCATTAGTGTTACTTCATATGGCTCCCTTGTTGTATGGATTCAAGGTGTATGATATTACAATAAATATGGTTAAAAAAAAAAAAAAAATACACGAGACCCGCAGGAAATCTCTTTTTATTGTGATAGGCAATTAACTGGAGAGATGAACTGTCCAAGCAGAGATGATTAGCATCACTTGGCACTTAACTAAAACTGTGTGTAAGTGGAACCCCTCACAGCTCAAACCCATGGTGTTCAGGGTCAACTGTATTCTCAAATTGTTTACAAAGGATTTTACCAATTTACACCACGTTCAGGCATTGTAGTAACTGAATCAGCACACCCCTAAAGAAGAAAAATATTTTAGAGAATCTGATGGTTGCAGAAGGCTGTTGTAGCATATTTTGTATTTCTGAGGTTGAATGTTTATATATTTATAAACCATGTATCTACCTGGACTCCTGGTTTGGCCGGGATCAGCACTGGACTGTAAACCACAAGTTGGCAGTTCAAACCCATCAGCTGCTCCTCGGAAACCCTATACAGGGTCGCTGCAAGTCAGAAGTGACTCAAGGCACTTAACAGTAACAGCCTCTATCTGTTTGTATCGATCTATCTCCATATTTACGTATTTATGTGATTGCCCAAGTTTGTGTTGGGATAAATTAGTTTCTAAAGTAATGGTGAATGTGACCAGTTGTTTTCTTTTTCTAGATGTAGGTGCAAGGAACCACAGGCATCTCTGTGCTGTTTATTACAACAAGAGTCCTGGCTTTGAGATCATCCACGGGCTGCTGGACAGAATCATGCAGCTGCTCGATGTGCCTCCTGGTGAGAAGAAGGGTGGCTATGTGATTAAGGCCTCAGAAGGTGAGACAGCGAGTGAGGAGACCGTGGAGAGACTAAGCTCTAGTTTTGGTGACGTTTTCTGGTTTGATTGGGGCTGGGGTGTGGGTAAGGGCCAACTTCAGTACTTAGTTTTCAGACAGCACTCCTTTTCACGTTTTAAGAAAATGCTGCTCAGCTCTTGTCAGCGCTGCACAATATGCTTTTGTCCCGGCCGAGCCATGGTAACTAACACACAGTTACTGGCACTGGAAAGCCACCGCCAGCAGCACTGTGCACCTAGGAGCACACGCTGGAAGCCGAGAGACCCGAGACTAGAGATGTGCACTCAAAGGCTGCCTGTGTGAAGCCTTCGGGGCAAAATACATTGAAATAAAGCTACCTAAGAACTGATCGAAAGACCTGCCATATGTTAGTGAATCGGAGAGGAGAGTGAGGAAGGGTGGAATCGTCTCTCCTAAAAGCCCCAGAACAGTAAACTCTTTGTTGTGGGCTGTTAAGTTAGTCTAACTAAATGATGTCTACCAGGGCTTCAAAATGTTCACTGGAAAATGGAATTAAAAGACAGTGGAAGTTTTCCACACATGTTTGAAGCCCTTCTTATATTCTTAATATGTTAGTTTCTCATGGTCCAAGGAATTCTGGAATTTTTGTGTTTTTAAATTCCTGTAGCTTGAATCTGAGTTCATTGTGGGAAAGGAGACCCAGAAACAAATTGAAAGAAATATTTCACCTATGAATTCTACTGTTTACCTCATTACCTTTTATAACCATTGTTGGCATCTTAAATTTCTAATAGAGGATTCGTTTTTTAAAATGTTGTTAGCCATTCTGTGTAGTATGGTGGTAAATAGTTTTGGTTTTCTCTTAGGTGTACTTTTCTTAGTCTTCAGAAGTTGTTTTTATTTGTTTTGGTTTCTATGTTGTTATTTTTTTTTTTTTTTTGAAAATGCACTATGTTGAAATGTATGGGTCTTTCTGGATTGATAGAGGGTTATCTTTTTTTTAAAAAAAAAAAAGGAACTCGAGAGCTTCAAAAATGCAGGTAGTTATTCACTGGCTTTTCCACCCCTTGTCTCATTAGAAATAATGCAATGAAGACATGTGTTAACACTTACAGAAAAGTTTTCCAACTGGAGGGGATTTAGGAATTTGTCCAATCCAATTCCCTGGCTTTACAAGTGAGGGAATGGAGGCTTGGCATGTTTGGTGAGGGGTGCTGAGCTTCACCCACAGCACCCAGACGTCTGCACCCTGATGTTCTTCCCACGAGGCCACTCTGTCTGACTTCCGGTTCACTGGTTTACTCCTCTAGAATTCTGCTTTAAAGCCTGGCCAGCTGGCCTTCTAGTCTAATGACAAGCTGTGCACTGCTGTGATACTTTTTGGTCTTTTTTTTTTCACCTTCTATGCAGCACCTTTTCTCAGGAGTTTTATTTCGTAAGGAGTTATTGGTGAAAATGGGTTCCCTCAAACATGTGCTGATTAAGAAAGCTGATTTCTTTCTTATTTGAAAGACTGCAGCCTGCTGATGGGAAATTGGAATGTAGGTATGAGTCGGAATAAACTGGAGATGACACATAACAGCAGCAGTCCTGGTGTGACGCTGTAGGATAAAGCACTGGACTGCAACATCGGTTTGAACCGTAAGGTTGCCATTTCAAACCCACAGCTGCTCCTCAGAAACTGTATACAGGATCATTATGAATTGGAATCGACTCGACAGCACTTAACAACAGTGATCCTTTAGGTTCCTATTGTATTGAGGCTATTTCTTTAAACCAACACCTCAGTATTGTGGCTATCTGGTCTCAATAAGTTTCTTAGACATTGGTATTTCAGAAGAGTCTGCGTTCCCAGTTACAAGGCATGCTTTAAGAGGACAACAGTTGTTAGTAAGTGCCATTGAGTTGGTTCCGACTTATAGGGACCCTCGGTAGGGTTTGCGAGGAGCAGCTGGTGAGCTTAACTGCTAACTTTGTGGTTCAAACTGACCTTGCAGTCCAGCACATTTCCCTGCAGTGCCACACCAGGATTCCAGACGAAAGTGTCAGTGAGTCAGTTTCGACCCAGTAGGGTTTTTGTGGAGCAGCTGGTGGGATTGAACTGCCGACCTTGTGGTTCCCAGTTCTGTGCTGATTCTACAGTGCCCTGCCAGGAGTGTGGTTCCTCAAGGAATCAGCAGGAGAAAGACCACCGCAGACCAACTCAAACCAAAGCTGCTAAGATGAGTGTCTGTAGGTTTCAAAAGAGGACGATGATGCACTGCTGAGAATGTCTAGAAAATCATTAGTGAGTTTCTGGCAAGTGAGATGGACTTTTGAAGGTTTGTTGTGTGTCGACTCATAACGACCCTGTATAGGGTTTCCAAGGAGCAGCTGATGGGTTTTAATGGCTGACCTTTCAGTTAGGAGTCCATTGCTTGTACTATAGCACCACACCAGGACTCCTTTGAAGGAATGTTGTTGTTGTTGTTAAGTGCTGTCAAGTCAGTACCATCTCATAGCCACCCTGAGTAGGATTTCCCATAGGCAGAGACAAAGCGAGAAGGCAAACCATATCAGCAAAGCCAGAACAATGGAAAACACATGTCCTGTGGGTAGAGCATTCAGGAGTGAGGACAATGCTTGGGACGGTATTGATCGAGTCCCAAATGCTGGAACCAGGGTGGCAGCTAAAGTGGGGTGGGGTGGGGGTGGGGGTGGGTGAAGGAAGTATTGAAGCTCGTTCCTTTTTTTTTTTTAAGCGGGTGAATGATGATTACTCTCTCCTTTAGAAGGGGTCCTGGTGGGGTGCTGTTGGATAAGCACGGACTGCTAACTTCTAGGTCGGTGGCGTATGATAACTATCACTGACTCCCATACACTGTAGGAGCTCTGGTAGCGTAGTGGTTATGAATCGGGCTATGAACGTCAGGGACAGCAGTTCGAAACTACCAGCTGTTCCATGGGAGAAAGATGAGACTTTCTGCTCCCGTAAAGATTTATAGTCTTGGAAAACCTGTACAGGGTTGCTATGAGTCGGAACTGACCCCACGGCACATAACAACAACAACCGCAAGAAGTAAGTCCAAACCTAGGACTTTGCCTCCCTGAAGCATGTTTAGCTACCACATTCCCTCAGACTCATTCTGTTGTCTCACATATTACTTTTTCTGCTAAAGAAGGGTCATCCCAATTCCAGTCAGGAAAGTAAGAAATTAAGGACACTATCCTGCTAATGTTGATTATTGGGTTGTCTTGTGTCACTCTGACATAGGGTTTACTTTTGAATAATGAAAACTCCCTGATGGGTTTGTGACTATGATGGACCTAAGTCTACTCACCAGAGATTCCTGCTGAATCCCCACAATTGTATCAGCACTTCCACCTCCGTGCTGCCCTGTGTACTGGGCACTGCCAGGTGTCTCTTGTGTTTGTTGATAGGGGGGCGTGGAAAAGAACTGGCTCCCCCTTGAGAAACTTGGCTTTTGTCCATTGTAAGAAAAACCTAGAAACGCATTGATTCGTCAGCACATCTACCCAGGGAGTTCTGTTGACTTTGTGGAGTCTACCTTGCTGGCTCTGCAGATGCCCAGGGGCAGCCCATTTCTATAGCCAGAGATAGGAGCCATGAGCTTACTCCAAAATAGCTTTTATTTGCTGAGCACCCTTGCAATTAGAGCACTGAATGAGAGCTGGTGATAGAAGAAGGTCAATTGTAAAATGAAAAAGAGAGAGAGAACCATCTTGAATTTTCTCAGCATCATTTTGGTTTCAAATGGGCTTTAATGCTTTAGTGACATTTGATCAGATTATTATAATATAGCATTATATATATATATACACACACACACACATATATGCCTTTTTTTTTCCAAGCTTCTTCCACTTCATTTTTGTGGGTTATTGCAAACTAAATTATGTATGTTAAAATGCACTTATCCTTTTCAAAAACCACTTCTGGGCAAGGAAAATTCTCAACATTTTTGCGTTTAGAACAGTTATGTGGTTGCTGGGCAAATCAGTGACAAAAATAAGTTCTTGTATAATGTCGTGGGTTTTGGTGTGATTGGCTACTTTGACTTGGAGTGTGGTTTTGTTCCCCCCTTTAATTTATTATCTATTTCAGTTTTGATTATTCACAGTTCTGTAGAAAACTTGAATTTAACTTCAGAGGTGCCCTCTGATAAAGGGACAGATGTTTTAGAACTTTTCGTTTTGACAGTTCTCGTTTTCCTGCTACTCAGAATGCATTTCGGGCACTGAAAAATAGACTTGTGAGTAATCTGCACATTTAATCCTCCACCATATGCACAGACGGGGTTCTCTAGGCACCGTCTGTTACTGTTACACCTAAGCCCTCATTGACTTGACCTGTAGGTCATGACCTTTTCCGCTCTCCGGACACCTGTGAAAGATTTCAGATGCTAAAAAATACGGGCAAAACTGTGATGTTCCCCTGGTTTTCACTCTGGTTTTTAGTGTAAACTCGAGCTTGGAAATGTGTGAGATAAATGCATATTGAACTACTTGTTAAAGTGAAGTTCAACTCTGATTTCATTTGTACGCAAGTTTTTAGATCAGAAGAAAGGAGAGTGTGGGTGGCGTCTGCACATGGAGTTCCCATCAGCAGACAGTGCTCCTATCAGGGCAGTGAGCTTTTTATATAGTTTGGACATTTTGGTCAGCTTCCTGGTTTTATTCCTCAGTGTGAAACAGCCCTTGCTTGGTTCTCATACTTAATCAATTATAAGTGAACAAAAAAATGACAGGATTTGAAAACTTGGTCTTAAATTAGATATGTCAGTTAGCAAGAAAACCCCAAATTAAAATAAATTATTAAAACTTATTTTTTTCAGCAGAAGTAAAATAATCGAAAAATGAATTTTTAGTGAATTTGACTTTTAACTTGATATGAAAAAATAACTGTTGGATGTTGTCAACTTTTTCCCTTTTAGCACTTGATATAGTGAAGGGTCAGTTGATTAACTTTTTTGAATTCAGTTTAAAAGGTAAACTGAGGACCAAACAACATAAGCAGCA